GAAGCTGCTGCCCTCCCTGGCCGCCTCTCTGGAGGAGATCTTCACCCACTGGCAAAGGTAAGTGTGCGGGATCAGGCGGCATCAATGTGCGGGATCAGGCAGGAAAGTGTGCGGGATCCGACAGCATAAACGCGTGGAGGGAATTGCCCTCACGTGCATCCCGTGCAGCGGGATTCGGCCGAGCGCCGTCCTGCTTGTGGTTATTACTTGTTGGCATTTCCTTTTGCCGGGATGTTTCAATAACAAGTTTTCCTCCCCAGGCCCTGCGTTCGCATAGCTTTATTTCTGGTGTTAAAGAAAAAATAACATTTCTTTATCTGGGGGATAAATTATTACTCTATTTTTGAAAACCGAGCGCTCTTCTTGCCTGTGAGGGCGACGCTGGAGTGTTGCTAGGGTTCGAGTTATGTTTTGCTGGCAAAAAGTAACTTCCAGTTTCGTTTCAGCTGCTCAGAGCCACGTGCTCTGCGTGGATGTGGCCGCTGTGAGCAGAGCTGCCGAGCGGTGCCCGTCTCGGCTGCTCCTGGTGTTAGATCCTGGCACAGGTCACACAACTTATGGTTTAAAGGAAGGCGCTTTTGTTTGCAGCCTGCCCTGTGCTCCTGTGTTTGGTCCTCACATTTGTTGCACCTGGGAACGTCTGCAGCAAAGAGGCTTTCACTGCGGAGCGAGGTGGTGCTTTATTTCAATGTAGAAATAAGTGCTGTGAAGGTGGGCATGGTTGAACCTGCAGAGCCAGGTTAGCAGGGGCTCAGTGTGACACAGGTACAGTTTTCTTAACCATTTTCTCCACTGTCTTCTTAACTGAGCAGAAGAGATGCTGTGGAAGCAGGTGAAGATGTAACTGTGGATTGGGGTTTGCAGTTCCTCCCTCTAACAGTTTATTGCTCCCTTGGGTGTTGGTGGCGGCTGTTGCGTGTGCCCGCTCCCCTGGGCTCTGCTGCACACCTTTCCAGAGACTGTTAAACTGTAGAGAGCACCAGGAACCCACGTCACGCTCAACTCCTCCCTCTGTGGTCACCCTTATGCTGTAGTTTCTCCTGACAGGTCTGCCTCTTGTTTCTTGTCCCCTGCTGTTGTTCTGTCCGGGTTGCAGTCGCAGTGGGGGACGTGTTGACCCCCTGTGTGCTTTACCCAGGGAGCACCCTGCTTAGCTGATGCCCTCTCATGTGGGGGAGCTCTGATTCTCACGTCTTGTTTTCGTTTCACAGGCTTTTTTGGCCTGAAAATGCCTTCCCCTGTTGTGTGCAGCACCTCTTCCTCCTCTGAGGTCATCCTTGATGCTCTCCTTAAACTCTTTGAACGCAGTTGAAATTCTCACACTATTTTCTGTTGCCTTCGCTCTGTGGTCAGCATCAGCCTGAGCAAATACATTTTTAATTCTCTGCTAATGTGAGGAAGATGCTTTCTCTCCATGTCCTAGGTAGTTTGTATCCAGTGTCTCCTCCAAGTGTTGCAAGGATAATTTCTCCTCAGGAGTTGCCTGAGGAGAACAGAGATGTATCTTGCAGGTTACCTATGCATCTCTCCCATGGCCACAGGAGCTGTGAAGGAATGACAGTCCTGAGACTTCTGTCAGACCTGGGAGGGGCTGAATTACTGAGTGCTCAGATTCATTCTTTTTCAAGAGTTATTCTCCTTTTTGACACTTTGACACCTCTTCTTTACTCTTACCAATTCTGTTTCCTCAGAACTCCCTCGAATTCCAGGAGAAGAAAGGCAAGTGATGTGGAGGCAGCCATCCCAGAAAAGATCAGAGTTCCTGATCCTGTGAGCAGCTCTGAGAGCTCAGAGAAAGAAGACGATGAGAAAGAGAAGACCAAAGCTGTCAAGGGTAGGAGCCGTTTGTCTCCCCATGTTTTGACTGAGTAGGACTGTGCAAGAGCAGCCCATTTTTTTTGGCCAGAGAAAGTGTTTGTAAAGGGATAGCCGTTCCCTGATCCTTCTAGGAGAATAGAGCACCTGTTTGAGCACCTGTGTTCCTGCAGAGCTTCTGAGGAGTGGAGATGCCTGCTAAAGCCAGCAGTAGCCTGCGGAATTGGGCCCTGGTATTAGGGGTTAGGTTTAAGATCCCTTTTCTTCGTTCCTGCTCTCTTGCTCTTCCTCCCGTATAGACTTTTCCTCTGTTCTTCCCGTGGGATCTGTTGATTGGTGTGGATGAGCGTAGCTCCTTGGAGAAGTGCTTTGCTCCTGACATGGAGGTGTCTGCCCCAGTAACTCTGTGGTTTTGCCCCCATTGCCCCATGCCAGAGTTTGGCACTGGCAGAAACCTGCCCTGAGAGCAGTGTAAGTTAATGTCCCTGGGGAGGCTGAGCCCAGGGACACTGCTCAGGTTTGAGCAGAGCCATATCCTGCTGGATGTAGATCATGAAGCAAGAGCTGTCGTCCCTATTGCTACCACCCTTTCCAGCCCTGAAAGCCTCCTCAGTGCCTGGATTCAGCACTTGACTTGCTGGATTTCCAGTTAACTTGCATTTGTACAGCCCTGCTCTCTCCTGTTCCCAGCACTCATCACTGATGGGTTAGGACAGCAACTTAGACACTACCCTGATGTCTGCAACCCACCCTCAGAAGTCGACCCAAGAGTCTGTTGTTCTTTCTCTCTTGTTGGGTTTGCTGAATTGAAGATCAGCAGGGAGCCCTTTTCCTTGGATTTGTTGAATTTGTGAATGGGTCTCTGTTTTTGGTAGAGTCAGTTGCTGTGGTTCATCGTAAGAAGGGATGAATGTCCTAGCTTGGATGTAACCTTGGGAGCCTAATGGTACCCAACGGGGGAGTATCATCTGATCAGTGTGGCATCTCTCGGGCCAGCAAGGAAAGATTTGCCTCACAGATGAGGGAAGGAGGACTTTCTAGTTGCCCTGGAAAACCTGTTGCCTCTGAGGTGGGAATGGATCCTTGATGCAGCTAATGTTTGAGACATTTGCTTGAATAGTCTAATAAGAAACTCAGACCTGCCCTTGGACCTGCCATGGAAACAGCCGGGTTTGGAGGGACCTGCCTGTTGCAGGGGCAGTGGCTCTGGTGTTGGGGCAGGTGCAAAGATGGGGCCTTGCCCTGTGTGCTGGGGCCTTTCTGTGGGCCAGAGACCGTTTTGATGATTGGCATTTCTTGCATTGCTTCTGTTGGTCTCTCCTGTGCTGCAGCCAGTGTTCCCCTGGTCACCAACTCGGCAGTGAATGTAGAAAGCAGCGAGGATGATGACTCCTCATCAGAAGAAGAGACACCAGCAGGAAAAGGTGTCGTTACGGTAAGACCGTGTTTATTTTGACCTTAGGGGCTCATGCTGTTCTGAGGCCAGGGCCGTCCCAGCCTCTTAGGCATGTGTTGTAATGTGGGCTGGGTGAAATTTGCATTTAAATGACCCTCCTGTGCTGGCATAAGCCTTCTTATAGATATCCATCCCCTAAGCACTTCCATAAAGAGTTGTGTGGCTTGCCCAACTGCTGGAGTGCTGTTTAAGATGTGTCATACCTAGTTCAGCCCTTTATTTGTCTGCGGTCTTCTAACTTTTGTTTCCTGTAGGTGAAGCCAGCTGTGGTCAGTGGCAAAGCTGCCAACTCCCTGCATTCTCCTAATAAAACCGCTGCTCCGGCAGACAAGGCAGTGGTGGCCTCTGCTGTGCACAGAACTGTGGTCTCAAATAAGCAGAAGGCCAATACGCCAGCTGTGTCTGCACCTCTGGCCAAGGCTGGGCAAAAACCATCCAGTCCTGAGAAGCTGGGACATCCAGGAGGAACCCTGGGCAAAGTAGGTCAGAGCAAAGCACCAGAAACCAAGGCAGCAGAGAGCTCCGACAGCAGCAGCTCTTCAGAGAGTGAAGAAGAAAAGGAAACAGCAGCAGTGAATTCAGCAGCCCCCAAAGCGGGTAAGCAGGGTGTGGGAGAGCATGTGTGCTCTGGTTTTGCTGGGCATGAGGTCTGATCTGTGCCAGCTCCCTGAACAGCTCAGAGGACAGTGTGCTCCCAGGAAGACTGCAAAAATATTGCAAAGCTGGCAGCTCTGGAGCTCCCTGGGATGAATCTAGCATGCTTGCTCACACCTAGGGTGCTAAATGCTGTGCTTAGGAAATGTGTCAGCATCTCCAGCAGCATCCCGCACTACAGCACTGGAGATGATAATACATTTGGAGAAGCTGCAGAGCAAATACTGCAGATGTTTTCAGCTTTCTTAAAACACTCTTTGGGGTTCTGTGTTCGGTCCCAATTGCAGAGTGATTTTAAAAAAAAAAAGTCTTCAAGAAAATCCCTTTTGTTGTTTTGGAGATGAGGGAGGGAACGGAGCTTAGAAGTTCAGTCGTCGTCTGCTTTTCAGATAAGATGCAGCCAGACTAGGTGCTCTTGCAGGATGCCGTGTCTGCCTGTGCAACTGTCCTTACAGTCTGAGACTACCCGGGAGGGATTTCTCATCTCTGCCCGTGCTGAGGAATAGTGCTTGCAGACCTTTTTCCCTTTTTTCTTGAGAGGCTGTTCCCAGGAGGCCACCAGCTCTTTTAATGAGACCTGTTCCTTGCAAGTCTGCCTCTTGCCTCTCTCTGCCTCCTTTTTTTGCCTTTTTTTTTTTTTTTTGCCTTTTTTTTCCCTTCTGACTTCAAAAGCTGCATTAGCATCTCACTTGAAGGACTCAGAACTGGCAGCAGCTGTGACATCTCCTCACTTGTGTTTCAGAGCTGAAGCAGGCAGCTGCGGCAGCTGAAAGTAGCAGTGAGGAATCGAGTGAGGAGACATCCTCCGAGGAGGAGCTCAAACCTTCAACAGTCCAGGTAACCTCTCCAGTCCAGGGTCCTAGGAAACCACTTCCCTAACCCTGAGGGGAGAGGAAAATGCAATGAGAGCCCAGTGCTGCTGCAGGTTGTGAACACTGTCTTCCTGAAGTGTGTGGGATCCCCAAACCCAAGGCTATGGGGACACACAGTGTGACTGAGCCCCACCAACCCCTGCCAGTCAGCCACTCTGTCCTAGTTCTTCCTAGTGCCTGAAGCAGAGGGAGAGTCATGGATCCGTAGGAGGTGACTGGCAGGCAGTTCCACAGTTTCTGCAAATTTGGGAGGATTCATGCTGGTCAGACAGTCCCTCAGAGGAAGCAATCAGATTGCTTCAGATGCTCCACAGCCCATAGTTCTGAACAAGCCTACTGTCATCCCAGCCAAACTGGCAAAATGGCCTTGCTTAAAACAGGCTCCACACAGTTGCAAACCTCAACCAGCTTCTTCCCTCCTAAAAATGTAAGATGTTACTTTTCTTTCTCCTGTTTCCAGGCAAAACCAGCTGTGAAAGCAGTGCAGGCTAATGCAGCACCTGTGAAAAGCACACCTGCCCCTCCAGTGTCCACCAAGAAGAAAGCAGTAAAGCCAGCAGCAGTGGCACCAAACCAGGCCAAGCCTGGACCAGCAACGGTTCTTGGGGCTGCAAAGCCCAATGACACTTCAGAGAGCAGCGACTCATCAGACAGTGAAAACGAGGAACCTGCATCAGGAACCCAAGTGCGTCTGTCTGGGACCCCGTCTCTCCTTGCATTCCTCCCCAAAGCTAAGAATTGCAGTGAAGGAAAAATCTCTAAACAGATGCAGCATACAGCAAAGTCATGTTTGCAGGGAGAGCAGTTAAAATCCCCAAAATGTTTTTGCCTTTTTTTTCTTGGGGGAGGTAGAGGAGGGGCGTATTTGAACTGAAAACTTAGATTTAACGACACTGATTAATAAAAATACAGCAATTCCTTTCCTACTTGAACAGGCAAGTCATTGTGGTGGAATTTGGCTCTCAACTATAAATTGTGATATGCGGAGTCTGATTTTTGCAAGCTGTAGTAGTGCCACTTAGTTTCCCTGCTGTAAAGAGTGCAGAGTGCTAAAACTCACTGCAGGGAACTGGTAGTATCTGCAGGCTGACAAGCAGTGTCTTGGAGACTGTCCCCAAAGAGCTGGGTGAAGGAATGCCTTATCTTTCCTGCCAGTTGCTGATCTTCCTTTAGCATTTGCCTTTTACAGGGGACGCTGAAATCTCTTGATTCCAGTCTGAGTGTATGAATTGTATGACTGTGGGATTCATCTTGGCTCATTCTGTTGTTGTCCTTTTGCAGACAAAGCCACCTCCAAAATCCTCCCCGGCCGTCCCGTCCCCAGTGAAACCGACACCCGCAGCGCCGCTCTCCAGCAAAGCAGCTCCAGCAAAAACGTTTCCATCAGCCCAAGGGAAGGCAACACCAAAACCACCAGTGCCAAAGCAGGGCAAAAATGGCCTGGAAAGGACTGCTGTTGGCACAAAGCCTGCCGAAAGTGCGAAAGCAGCGGAGAGCACTGACTCCTCAGATGGTGAAGAGGAGGATCTCTCTGTGCCCATCAGCCAGAAGGTTGGTGATGCCCCATTCAACCCGATCTTTAATGATGAGAGTGTGCACAGAGCAGTAATTCAGCCATTAGGTGCTACTGATAATCATCTTGAGTGGCAGCACATTTGCACCTTGCCTTCCCTGGGAGGAGTCTTCCCTTCTACTTGGAGAGGAGTATGATAACTTCTCGCTCATATGTGGCTTTGTTTACCTGTTATTTTTACCTCTTTATCCCACCACATGAAGACGAGGGGATAGTTGAGAGTTACCAGATACCTGTCTTTGTGCTGGAGCTTGTCTGGCTCTTCTCTGAAGCAAAAACTGTTGTGAGAGGCAACAGGAAGGCCCAGGTGAGGGGTGGTGTCCCAACAGCAGCGCAGTCTGTGAGTAGCAAATAGATTAGGGCTCCCCACCCTCCTCCCTATTTGACACAAACTGATTTTTCTCTGCTCATGCTTTGCTACTCCAAGGGGTCACCAGCAGCTTGGCCCTGCGGTGAGTGGGCTGGAGGGGGTTAGGGTTAGTCATTAACCCAGACTAGGCTCAAGTTTAGGTGGCTCAAATTGTTGGGAGACAAATCCTTTCTTGAGAGCATCCGCCTGCTTGTGCAGGGTGGGACTTGCTGTGCTTCTGATGGTGAAAGAGGGCCTTGGTAATCCTAGATCTGATGTGTGGAGAGTCCTGCAATGACAGAGAGCTGCAGGGCCTTTCAGAAAGCAGCCTGAAAGCCGTGTTTCCCAGGTGGCAGCTGTTATTTGCTAGGGAGGCAGAGAACCTGGGGGTAGAGCCTCACGTGTCCTTGCAAAGAGGCTCTTTGTCAACACGTCCTTTTGGTAGTGACAGGCAGACGCCGGAGAGGAGAGGCTTTGCATTTTGTCTTTCTAGCCTTGGCCTGCTGGCGTGGGTGGAGGGGGGCGCATCTCTAACAGTTGGCTCTGTGCTGCTCTCTTCCTGCATGATTTTTTGTGAAGATTCAGCTCTGGGTGGCAGGAGCAGCTATTCCCATAGCTCTGCCATGGGGGTGCTTGCTATACAGCATGGCTCGCCTGCTTAAGCAGGGTTGGAGATGAAGGACCTGCTGGGTTGGGTTTGCTGTCCCCAGTGTCAGTGCTTGCTGATGGCTGTTTAACCCCCTCATCATCTTTCCTCTTCAAGCTGGTGATTGCCCTTCACCTAGCACAGTCAGTGGGGAAAAACTTGTCATCAAGAAAGCTCTATTTTTGCCAAAGAGGCTGTTTCTGCCTGTGTTAGTAGCCTGCAAGCAGACACGGTGAGTGAAGCCTGAAGTTGAGCCGTTAGGCATATCCTTGTCCACAGTCCTGTCCTCCCAGTCAAGCTCCTCTTAGCTCATCCTCACCATCTGCTGCTTGGGCATATGCTAACCACTGACTTACTGCATCCTGCAACTTCCTCTGGCTTCTGTGCAGGATCCAAACATACAGAGCGTTGGAAGCTGCTTCATCTTTCCCTGTGGGGGTGGATTAGCACAATTAAAATGAACATCATGCCTAAATTGAACTGCTTAATTGGTATGTTTACCCCCTGAAGACTCAGGAATATTTAGTCAAAGAAGTTGACAAGGTGTTTGCAGGGCTTTTTTTGAAGAGAATGGTGGTGGGGGACAGTCTGGACTGACCTTAAAGATGTTGTGAGCTGCTGCTTTTGGAACTGTTGATTCTGCTTTGCTTCCCTTTTCCTGAGCATTGTGGGGTAAAAGTGGCACCAAACCTCTCCGTGCGCAGGCTCTGGTTTCTGCCCAGCAGTGTTGAGCTGAGCTCTCTGTACATGTGTATGTTGGGATCCTGTATGTTCCTTGATCATCCAAGGCAACTCGTGCAGGCTGCACTGGCAGAAGCTTTGCCTGAAACCTTATTTATTTATTTATTTTTATTTTTTTCCTCCATGGGCTTCAGGAACAGTGAGGGAAGGCCCAATCTCCCCTCCGCCCCAAATCCTGTCCCTGCTCCGTGTGGATCGCAGTCCTTCCCTTCCCCACGCCTGAGCTGCCAGTTCTGATTCCGATGCTCCGACGGCGCCTTCCCTGCGCCCGGCAGCGCCGGAGCGTCGAGCCCATGATCCCACACGTGGCTCCACGCTGCTTCCCCCTCTCTTGTCAGGCAGAGTTGCATGGTGCAAATGGCCCATGCGAGTGGCAGATGGGTTGTGTGGCAGCTGAGTCATCATTCTCATCCCAATCCGCAGGCAGCTCCTGCTCCGAGGGCTGGGGAGGGAGAAGGAAAAGTGTCTTCCTCTTGAGTTATTTCATAGAATCATAGAATCACAGAATGCTCAGGGTTGGAAGGGACCTCTAGAGATCATCTAGTCCAACCCCCCTGCACACGCAGGGTCACCTAGAGCGCGTGGCACAGGGCTGCGTCCAAGCGGGTTTGAAGATCTCCAGAGAAGGAGACTCCACAACCTCTCTGGGCAGCCTGTTCCAG